GGCAGTGAATCAGCTACGTCGGTGACACCAAGAATAATTTAGTGCATTTTATTTATTTATTTATTGAAATAATGGGAATTTACATAAGTACATTTAAATTTATAACGTCAACAGCAAAATCATATTAGGGTGGGCACAGGGGTGGCCAGAGTTTACCCAGGGGCGCCCCTGACTACGTCGAATATGAATGAAATGACACTGTGAAAAAGTACTGAACACATGAAGAAAGGGGGGTGTATTCCAGCAGTGAAAGCCCAGACAGCAGCTGAAATCTCTTAGTAGTTCTTCAGCAAGCCTCTGCCCTTCCTTAGTGTAGATGAATATCAGCTGCTTCAGTCCAACATCTACATTAGCAGGAGGATGAAGATGAACCCAGGGTGGACATTTCAGCAAGACAATGATCCAAAACACAGCCAAGGAGACTCTCAGATGCTTTCAGAGAAAGAAAATCAAGCTGTAGAATGGCCCAGCCAATCACCTGACCCGAATCCAATAGAAAATACAAAATAAAGCTCAGATTTGATAGACGAGACCCACAGAAGCATCAAGATTTACACACTTTGTTGAAGTCTGTGAGACACTCACACCTGAGGAATGCATGAAGCTTCATTCTCCATATGAGAGGCGTCTTCAAGCTGCTGCACCAATAAAAAGCTTTTATAAAAAGTATTCAGTACTGCTTTTTTTGGTCAGCTGAGGAAGTTCAACTGCTGAAACAGTTCCACCTCCACTAACACCTCCATTCCATTAAATCAGTCTTTTGCACGTCAATAACGGTCTGGTTTAGCTCAGCTACCAAATCTGAGCTTCGAAGACTACATCGTCTTGGGGTGGCACACAAAAAATAATAAATTCAGTGTATTTACATACATATAAAACACTATATATATATATATATATATTTGTTTCTGGTAAATGAAATAGTGGTTTAAGTATTGCAATTTATTCCTTGAAATAATTCAGCAAGTACATGTGCAAACCAAATAAAAAGCAATATTTAGTTTAAAAACACTTTTCATATATATATATATATATATATATATATATATATATATATATATATATATATATATATATAACTTTTAGGTTATTTTTCACACACCATTATTGTACAACATAGTATATGCCAAGTCTAAAATTAATGAAGATTGAGTTAAATAATAAAACAAATAGAATAACAAACTAAACAAAAGGCGTTATTTACTATATTCACACACTCACTATACAGACTCTAATAATAACATTTATCCATATCCTTTTTTGAGCCACAATATTACTAATGTAGCTTCTTCTATTGATGTACCTTAAGGTAAATATTAAATTGCCATTGCTGTCTAGGTAACGACCATCGGGTCAACGACCATCGGGGAGGACAATGGCGGTTCTAGTTTAAATGACACCCTGGGCGAACCACCCCACACCCTTAAATTGTTAATTTATTTTTCAATAAATATAACTTTTTATTTATTTCAAATAAATACTATTATTATTTAAAAAAAATAACATAAATCAATCCTAAATTTTCAAACAAAGTAACAACTGGATTGATATGCTAAGATCACTTAAGAAACCTTTTGCATGAATATTATGACAATTCTAAAGAAAACAAAAATATATATAATTTTTAGAACTATCTGTTATCTTAGACCTGACTCATGGTTGAGAATTAATGTTATGAAGTCTTACCTCCCTAACTCTTTATCCCTCCTTTCTGTTTTATAGCCATGCTTAGTGAAAGTAACATCATCATCATATCAAATTATTAGTTTAGTCAACTTGCAAAACTCGCTGAATGCCGACACCTCTGCACAAGAGGCAAAATTTGTTTATTGTTGGCTTTGCTAAGCTAACGCTGTAAAAAGCAAGTTCTCCCTTTGCTTTGAACTTTTTAAATTCAGAGATGTTTTTTTTTTATGTTCACACAGCTACATTACACCAACTAAAGTTTAAAATATGATATTGTAGTGGACCACCTCTTTAAAAAAACTAAATAAACCTTTAAATTATGTCTGTTTTGTTTGGCCAGATGAAAGGAGCCAAGTTAAGTTAGCTAACATTAGCCAAAGAATATTTTTAAAGCAGGGTATTTCTTGTAATGAAATAAGTTCACTGTAAAATATACACCAATTTTTCAGCAAAGTCACCTGCTGTAGCTTTGTCAGGAATTATGACTGCACAGCCCCGTGTAACCACTGCTAATGTCATGTCTGGCTTTGACTTTGCAGCATCTCCCATTTTCAAAATAAGAGTCACACAGACATGGTATTTTAACCAAAGTTTTTTAAGCCAAGTCATTTCACTCTGCGGCCACATTTAAAATGCCTCTCAGGCAGTATGCTTGGGTATTTTGTCTAATTATTGCACATTTATTGAACGGTAATGATTCCGATTCATGTATGTAAATTCATTTTCAGATGGTGCCTTTATAGCAATGTGCGTGCCGTAGACCGCTCCGATTACATTGGGAGAACTAGTGATCACTGCAAATTTTGCGCTTTAATGTTTGGCTTGTCAACTGCACGGTATAGAAACCTTATATACCGGCTAAACATGCGAATGATCCCGTCCCATACAGCTGCCATTGCACAGCTCAAAGATACTTTTTAGTGTACAGTTTAACACAATTGCCTCTAGGAGTCGCCAATGGAAATAAAACAAACACACATAAGAAATGCTCGTACGCCAGACAATGAAGTTGGCGTGGACCAATGCACATTCTCACATTAATTTCTTAGTTCGTAAATCCAAACGTGAGCAAGAAATCTGGCGTACGCAAAGTTTTTGTGCGTACGCAGTGTTGATGCATGAGGTCCCTGGACTGAGCTTTTTCCACAGAGGAAATGTCAGTCTATAACGATTGATGATCGACTCCTGTACTAGTAGGCGGGGCTTTATTCACCATATTGACCTTTCCTCATTGAATTTGAATTTATTGATAGCCCCTTGAGATGAACCATCTCATTTTTTAAGGGTGCTTATTTTTCCCCATTTGAAACCATACAAGTGACATGTCTTGTGTTCTATATTCTTTGATTTAATATAAACGTTGATCAACTTAAAATTTAAGGGAGAAAAATGAACATTGTTGTAATCTCAAAATAGCCTGGGGTGTGCACATTAATGATCCTGTATGCAACATATTAATCTGTGTTTGAACTGCTGATTTGATGACCTTGAATGTCAGTCTAAGTACATTCAAATCCTGTTTTATGTTCTGATTGGCATTTCACGACCGGGGTTTTACAGTACAGTCGCCAAATTTACACAACAGGAAACAACAGTGTTTGAGGCTCACAGTATGACCATTTTCATGTACTGAACCCTTAAAAATCTGCGGTCACACTAGAGTTTGTGTGCGCAAAATTAACAGGGGCAGGAATAAACAAGATGATTAACCCTTTAAAAAAAAAAAAAAAAAAAACGAGCGATTGGTCCATGTTTTAAATTTTTGTCCTGAGAGGTCATGTTTTGATCTTCAATTGGTCTCACGCACTCATGTGATGCGATTTTGCAGGTCAGTTCACCAAGCTTGAACTTTCCAACGCAGCGAACTGCGAAACTTAATGCACAAGCCTGCATTTCCAGTCTGACGCATTCGCGTGCGTATGAATGAAAGTCTATGGGGAAAATAGTGCAGTGTGACCACAGCTTCATTCGACTTTGCATACTTACACCCAGAATTTCTTTATAGAGCATCTTAAAAACAACTATTTTAGACATCTTTTAATGAAATATTGTCAAGCTGATCTTTCATCCGCTACAACTTATCAAGTATAACAAGAGTTTATATGGCGCATGTTTTGCAAATGTAAAAACTTAAAATAACGTCACAGCTGTTATTTGTAAAGCTCAAACCATAAAGAACAGACTGGAGACCAGCAGAAACACGTGTTCATAGCTTTATACTGAAACTCATGGAAGTTTACACAATGCATCCTACACTATTACCATGTCCACACGCATGTAATGCTGGGTAAAAGGTACATTTGGCATGTAATGATAAGACAGCAGTTTGAAATCGAAGTCCAAAGCAAAAAAAAAAAAAAAACATGAGTAATAATTGGTAGCACAGTACAAGGAGGCAACATTAGTACAGTTACCAAATAGTCGAAATATAAAATTAATCCAAAAAAACAGAAAACATATGCTTTTATGTACATCCCAGTGCCTATTAGAAGGGCCTGCAGAGAACATGGGCTATCTTTAACAATGACAATAACTCCAGCAAGCCTGATATCAATATAAATATGTCTGCAAGGTGCAAAGACCTTTCCCATACATACACGCGCGCACACACATACATACATACATACACAGTGTTTGCCGCAGGTTCATTTACCTCCAGATGTGCTTTCCCATTAAAGCCTGTGCTCAATGCTTAAGTGCTTTCTGTAATTCAGGATGAACGGCGACTGTAAATGACCTTTCGCTTACACTGCTATCCCATCATACACCGTTTGGTGAGCGCCATCTAGTGGTTCATTGAGGAATATGTAAAACTTCACTGTACAGTTTATATACAGTGTCAAATTTCTGTTTTTAGTCTTCCAATGAGAACCAACACACACACACACACACACTATACAATAAAAGCAGATCTCAGTCTGACACATGCAACACATTTGCTTTCTTTTATACAATGACGAAAGTCCCGCTAGTTTCCCGGCATCACTCGTACCTTCCGTTTCCTCAGACTCTGTGTTTGTGCAAGTAGTCGTGAGTTGGACAGTAGATAGAAATTATAATCTCCCGCTCAGTCGCTACACGTCTTTGTTTAGCATCAGTAGTAGAAAGACTAGCCTTAAAGTCTTGTCTTTAGTAAGTATTGTGTTTCAAAGGTGGGTAGCTGGTACCCTAGAGTTAAACTTTAGTTTGTTTTATACAAAAGGAGAGAGAAAGTGTTGTTCGCACTGGTCCAGCGAAGGGGATGATGGGGAGCTGGAGTGTTTTGTTTTGTTTGTTTATGGAAGTGTGTGGTTCGGTTACACGCTCTCTTTGCCTTGAGCTCCTGTCACAGTCTTGATGGAGCTTAATGTCCTGTTGAACCACGTCTTTTTGGCCGCTTGGACTTCATTCAGAGCGAGACCCAGATGATGCTCCAGATCCTACAGAAAACATTTACTGTGGGTTAGTTTATGTGCATTTTATTCAGTGACCTGAACTTGTTGGCAAGACATTCATTTAGTAAAATAATGTAAAGATCTTTTAAATTATCTTAAACATCCCTAAAGGTAATGCATTTTTATGTACGTATACAGACTAATGGTAAGTTCCAAATGGGACACACTTCACAATCATGGCTATCATACTGAAGTCCTACTCCAAACCAAAGTGCTCAAACCTAGTCACTTTGTAGGGCCCTTTGTAATGAAGGATATAGGCACTTTGGGGTCCCAAGATCCTTTGCGCAGGAAAGCTGTTTGTGTCAAACAGTGTGATCCATTCGGAATTGTTCATCCCTATGCCTTAAGGCTGATTTATACTTCTGCGTCAAACGCCGGCGTATGCTACGGCGCTAACACATAGCCCTTCGCCGTGGCCGTCGCTGTCACTGACGTGCACCTCTCAAAAATTGCAACTACACGTCGCAATGACGCATAGCGTAAGCTCTGTGATTGGTCGGCTTGGTAGCGCTGACGAGTCTGGGCGGGACTGAGAGCTGGGCGAATGGCGCGAGCGAATGTTTACAAGTGTGGAGTACCGTGAAGGAGCTCCAGATGGAAAGTTTTGTTTTGTGTTTACCTCATAGTTAAAGTTAATGCACGTCCGCCGGTTCCTGCCTCAAAATAAGCGAGTTTGAGCCACTTGTACATCCCGGAAGTGTTCAGGAAAAGCAATAAAGCAGCGAAGAAACTCGAGGAACATTTACACCTCACTGCCAACTAACGTTTCGAAAGTGTTAATGCAGACCAACAGAGACAGCGCGCAGAAGTATAAATGCACAGCCACGCGCGTTGCATGCGCCATGGGTTACGCCGGTCACCTGATGTAGAAGTATAAATCAGGCTCAAGGGGTCCCACATTTTTCCAGCATGCGAGCTACTAATAAAATGACCAAGTCAAAATTCCCTACCCAATCTAAAAATGCAAAACATATATTTATTTATTTATAAACATATTGAGAATGCTGTATTTGGACATTATATATTGATGTACCTTGCATAACTGAATAAACACATATTGTGCAATATTCTACAACTCTGTACATATTTTTGTCATTACCTTACTCTGATGACTTGCACTGAATAGAATCAGCCAGGAAAGCATAGTCTGGGCAGGAGCTGCTGATAGCCAGCCTCAAGCACACTACCAAATGATCATCAGTCATGGTGAAATAATATTTGTACTTAACCTCGCCAACTTTGCCAAGTGCTGCAAAACTATTGCCACTATAAGTTGGCATGGTTTTGTATGTGCATGCGTGGTTACCCATGTGTCAGAAAAGATATCAGACTGCCTCCCCTTTATGTCATTCAAGCAACACATTTCAGTAAGGATGGATGGATAGATTTTTTTTTTTTAATACCATGCAATCTACCCATGCAACCTTTGCGATTGACCGGTAGATCGCGATATTCATATTGGGCACACCAAAGCTGTCAGTCCAAAGAGTATGGATGATGGAGACCACTGAGCTCATTGGAACTTTCAGAGCAGCAGAAAATTTTCTGCAACTTGCCCCAGCTTTGTGCCTCGAGACAATCCTATCTCAGAGGTCTACAGACAATTCCTTTGTCTTCATGCTTTGTTTGTGCTTTGACATGCACTTTCAACCATTAGATACACTTATATAGACAGGTGTATGCTTTTTCAAATCATGTCCAATCAACTGAATTTACCACAGCTGAACTCCAGTTAAGCTTCTGAAAGATCTCAAGAATGATCAGTGGAAACAGAATGTACCTGAGCTCAATTTAGAGCTTCACCACAAAGGCTGTGAATACTAAGGTACATGTGATTTTTCAGGTTTATTAGTTTTAATAAATTTGCAACAATTTCAAAAAACCCTTTTTCATATTGTCACTATGGGGTATCGTTGGTAAAATCTGGAGTAAATAAATTAATCCATTTTGGAATAAGGCTGTAACAAAAGAAATATGTAAAAGAGAGAAGCACTATAAATACTTTCTGGATGCACAGTTCCTATGTCCATTTTAGTGCTTCTCAGTTATGCTTGGTTTCATTGTATAATTGTTGTATTGTTTTCAGGGTGACAATGTTAACATCTGTCCAGGGGTAATGGAAGAAAAATAGCCTTTGGCAAATTTCCAGCAATGCTAATTAATGTACACTGTCCCTGCCAAATATTTTTTTTTCATGAAACTTATTTTAAACATAAAATACTATATTTGCATTTAACATATTTCTGTTTAATTAAAATCACCAAAAAATGGACTGTCATTTATATTTTCATATTCATATGTGTATAAAAATGAAATCTGTTCATCAAATAAAGCAATCGTGTCTCTTATTAGGTTATTATTCAAAAAGGAAATGATTCGCACTCATAAAGTAGTTGCTTCGTACTGTTTTTCTTTTTTTCCTCTTTACATTTATTGGGTGATTTAAAGACACAAACATTTCGGCACAATGCCTTCCTCAGTGTCTTCATAAAGACTCTCATAATACTGAACATGGTTTACGTTTACAATGCCTTTATATGTCCGTGTGGAATGAAATTTCCAATAAAGGGATGAAGATTGCTGGAGTTTGATTAAAAACATTCATTTGTGTGTAAAGGAATAAACTTTTATGGGTTTGGAATGATGTGTAGCTAAACAAATGATGACAGGTTTTTCATTTTGGGATAAACTTTTACTTTAACTTCTCTTGATCATGTGTTGGAAGAAAAGATTAAAGGAATGACTCTGCAAGAAGCTATCAAATAAAAGTGCTGATGCGGTGTAAAGTTCTGTAGCTGTTTCTACTGACCAGGGGTGCATTTCCCAAACAATGATGTAACTGAACTACTATAATACGTTGCATCGATTGGGAAAGGAACGATGTAATGATGAGTAGTTGCTCTGCCGCTATGCATCTAATTACAGCACTAGAGGTGTAGTTGCAACTAAATTTGTGATGCAGTTTGCATATATTTATTGGAACAATAGATTAGGAAACACCCAATCAACTAACTATGTAACGACGGAACTTATGACCTTAGCTAACGATGGTTTTTGAAGACTTCCCAAACCAAACCATTCCCACAATGACCAATGCAATCACCCATAAAAAGCGCAAATTAAAAACTTTGTAATTACTTGTAAATACTTTGTACTTAATCATTTGTAATAAACTTGTTCTCCTACCATGCACTCCCACCATGTTCCCTCTATACAGTAACTATCACAGCATATCAAGCTCAAAAAGAAATGGCTTCAGACATGATTATTTCTGAGCTTATTGTTGTAAATACTAATAACCTCTCTACTCATCTTTCTAAATCATTTTAAAGCATATTCTCTGATTGACAAAAGCACAGTGTTAACTTCACCACCTTAAATAAAGCCAGTAAACACACTGCTATGTTGGTGGATTGGTTCTAACTAAACCCAAACACACCCCTGTGTCATTTGCATTTGTAAAGTGTGCTGATGTCTAAGAGCAAGTAGGTGGTGTCCAGTACCTGAATCTTGCACTCTGCCTCCACCAGCTGTAGTTTGGTCTGTGCGAGCTCCAGCTCCATCTCTCTCAGCTGGTTCTTCAGCGCTTCCTTCTCCTCGTCTGTGTCCTCCTCGCTGCCCTCCTTTGGAGCACTGAGCACCTTCAGACGGCCCTCCTTACTGAAGAGATTACTGCACTTCTCACAGCCCTCCACCTTCATCTGCGCGCACACACACACACACACACTCATTATCAGCTGTTTATAAACACTTTTAAGGGGTTGTTTACATGATCACTTCATGCATTTTTTTCCTGATCAGATACCTATTCAATCATGAAATGGACCGACATAGACACTCTCTGAAATGCATTCCAGATGGATATAAGTCAGATCACTCACAGTTTCAGGAGGTGGTCTTGGATGCATACAGGTAACAAATACATCTGGTTGATGAAACCACATGCATAAATTTGACTCCTCCCAAAATAAAGCATGAGAGTGCATGCATTATGGGCTACAATATATGATCATCAGATATAAGTGCAAATGCACAATCAATGGAAAGCCACAGATGACAGTTGGAGATGTTTCATTCTGTTTACATTTTTTTGTTTTATTTTTGACAGTGAAACTATGAAATGTTAACCTAATATAAAATGGCAGCATTAGCAACAGAGACACACCTACAGCCTATCTGCCTGAAAAGAGAGGAAAAATATACCGTTTTGTTTTTTTAGTCACGTTTTGTTTTTGAGAGGGTATTTCATAAACTGTAAAATTGTATTTTATTTGAAATTATATAATTTTTTTGTCCATGACTGGAGACACCAATAGACAAAAATCTTCACATTTTTATAGTGATTCCAAAAAAGTTAAATAGGTAAAACATTCTGTGACAAAAACTTAAAATGTGCACGTCATGGGCTTCTCCTTTGAAAGAAGTACTGAAAAATCATACTTGAGTAAAAGCACAATTACATGCCCAAAAATGTAGTGCAACCAGAGTGGTAGCATTCTGTAGTGCATTTAGTTATTGCCCAGCAGATACACAGCAACATAAGACGTTCATATTATTTTGATGTGCAATAACGACGTGAAATGACATTAACATTTGAATGCTTTTAGGTTGTGATAGAAAATCCAAAATCCAATGTCAAGCCAACATCCTTAATATTTGTCTTTTTGACGTCAAATACTGACGTTTATTCATCAGGTATGGCAACCAAAACCCGTCTGATAGACGTCATAGTGGTAACGTCCACACAACATCAAACTGTAACATCATTAGGCGTAGATATTTGGTTGATTTTAGGGTGGATGTTGGACATTGACGTCGGCCTGATGTTGGGTTCTGGCGTCAATTGGATTTTTATTTCCAAACAAAATTGGATGTCCCCACGACATTGAGGTATATTGTTAATCTGGTGCCTGCTGGGTGTTAAAGGCCATTTCGGTCATTATACAGTAAACATCTGTCATCTTATCAGTAACCTGCATCTAAACAGTCTCTGGGCCAACGCGTGAATGATTTTGGACATCTTCTTTTGGACACTTTTAATGCTTCTAAACAGTTTGCTTCAATTAAAATTGGTCCACGTCTTGAGGTAGATCATCAGGAGGTGATTTACCTTCTATGTGTGATTTGATTAGACAGGAATTACTCGACTGATTTTTCTAATCCCCATAGACTAAAAAATAAAGTAATGACTGCAGGTTGAAGGAAAGTAGTGGTCTAATAGTACCGATACTAGAATAAAAATGTCCTCATGGGAAAGTAAAACCTTAGTATGGTTCATTTTAGGGTGCTTTCACAATTGCCTTATTTAATTTGGTTGAATTGCACTAGAATTTGTATTTTCATTTGGACAGGTCTGAATGCAGCAATCACACACCAAGACCTGCTCAAAGGGATTTTTGGTTAATTTACATCCTCTTTCATGTGGGTTGTGTTCCTATTTTAGTCAAACTGTGCCAGAGTTTGGTTTGAAGAGGAGTGAGATCCATATTTTAGTCACCGTCCACTTTTAGGTGTGCATCTGTGTTTAGTGTTCACACTTACTCAACTGAACATTACCAACAGAGCAATCGCACCAAAGGTTCAACACCCTAAATAATCACAAGCTAAATTAAGTGATATAGTCCTCTGTTATTCTTCTGTATTTGTGTGTGTTCTTGATTATTCGCTCACCCGAATCTTCTCTAGTTCTCCTCTGTTGGCCGTCTGCTGTTTCTCCAGTCGCTCGCTGAGCTGAGAGCAGATCTGACACACAAACACACAAAGGTCAAAAGCCACATCAATACACTACACATGCTTTTTGTTCAAGAGGATAGAGAAACCAAGTTTACTGGAAAAGGTCAAACATCATGACTTCAACATGCAATCTTTCAACGTCTCTCTCCTGTTACAGGATGTCGCATGTCCCCCTTTATCTTTGTGTAATCCCAGAATCCCAAAGCTCAGGTCAGCAGCAGATCTCTGATTTTTAACCTAAATCCATTTCTCATTGATCTGTGAGGTTCATGAACTCTTTTCTTAACCTGATATACATCCTTTTCCAGGCCATTGCTGAATCAATGCAGTCAGCATATATTCATTTGGAGAACATTTAACATGCATTCTCAGCAGGGCAGATGAAGTCTCAGATGAACTTATGACCAAATGAGCAGGGATGATGCAACCCCTAAGATCAGGGTTTCTGCAGGTTTCACCAAGTTAAATTTAAAAGTTAAGGCATTTTAAGACCATTATGAATGAAATTTTAGACTCATAAAGGGGCTGAAGTCTAAGGATTTTTCGAATGGCTCAGCCGGACAAGATTTTTTACCCCTATAATATATATATATATATATATATATATATATATATATATATATATATATATATATATATATATATATGAATACGTTTAATAATGCAATAATAATGAAAAAATTCTATATTTTAAATATTTCATAGCTAAATATTTCAACCTGTTATCCAACACTCACTTTTGGGGATTTATACCTACCTAACTTTAAATAGTAACAATTTTTGACCCCAGTAAGCTGTAAGCATAAATTAGGTCTCCTTGGAAAGAATAAGCAAAAAAAGTTGTGTTAAAACAAGCAAGCTTTACTTGCATCCATACACTTTTTCCCAACATAAACTTTCTTTAAAATAAAAAAGTGAACAAATGTTTAAACGTTTTGAAAACTATAATAAATGAAATATATGCACAACAATCTGTCCAGGTCAGTGTCCTTAGCAGTAAATACATGGAGCAGTTTAAAACAAATGTTATTGTATAGAAAATAGTTAAACCATCATGATAAATACAGTAAAAATGACCTTTTCAAATAAAAACTTTAAAAGCCCCTTTCACACATACAGACCTTCCCGGAAAATTGCCGGCAATTTTCCGGAAAGCTTGTATGTGTGAACAGGTCCTTTTTGAAAATACCGGTAAATTCGTTCTGGCTATTTTCCTGGAAAGAGAAGTTGTAACATTACCAGCAATTTGCCGGAATGCTGCGCTGTGTGAATGCAGAAGGAAGATTACCGTAATAAGCGCGTGCACGTCTAGAACGTGCTGACGTGAGACGTCTGCTTTAGCCAATCACAACAGTCAGACACATTTACATCCGCACGGTTTGTGAGGATAAAAGCCTTTGAATATTTTTCCAGACGCGTTTAGCTGCTAGAAGTTAGTCAGATAATGTTTATATGTTCTTCTTAATGCCAACTGTGTAAATGATCATCGATAAGATGCTTATGATAGGCCGTTGTTTGTTTACCTTCAAGCTTTGCGTGTGCCTGTGGAACAGCCTGTGAGCGCCTGCACACGCACATATTATGAACATCTCGACATGAGAAAGTGATCCTGCGAAAGTTGTTCACAATATTGATCATCCACAGAGTTTGTAATTTAGTCAAATGTTTACAAATACAAGCGCAGCCGTTTAAAGCTCATTTGTGGTGAATGATATCAGAATTTACCGGTATTTTGGAATGGATGTGTGAATGCTCTTTTCCGGAAAATTTCCGTAACAAACCTCGCCTGTGTGAACAGCGCTTTTTTCGAATATACCGGTAAAGTCTTTCCGGAAATTTTCCGAATATTTACCGGTATCACTGTGTGAAAGGGGCTAATATTGATCATCCACAGAGTTTGTAATTTAGTCAAATGTTTACAAACACAAGCGCAGCCGTTTAAAGCTCATTTGTGGTGAATGATGTCAGAATTTACCGGTATTTTGGAATGCATGTGTGAATGCTCTTTTCCGGAAAAATTCCGTAACGTCCTCGCCTGTGTGAACAGCGCTTTTTTGAATATACCGGTAAAGTCGTTCCGGAAAATTTCCAGATATTTACCGGTATCACTGTGTGAAAGGGGCTAAAGTTTTATTGAGATGGATTGTTGGTGATTGTATGGGTTTTGGCCAGATTGGGTAGCAATACATGAACAAAGGAAAATTAAGATCTGTTAAAAAGATTTAAGACCTACAGCACAATATTTTAGTAAATGTGAGACTTTTTAAGGTCTAAAATTTAGATTTTAGGATTTAAGACCCTGTGGAAACCCCGTAGAGTATTCCTGCTGTATATTTCGAGCCATGACACTGGTTAACCTTCAGGTTTCTGAGAAAGTTTTGGGGCCGTGGAGAAGTTTTGACATGCACTGACATTTGTATTGTTTTCAGTATCTTAATAACATATTATTGGCTAAAGTGTGGTAACACCGTTAAAAGCACAAGCTGGGCTACAACAATACCTAAGCAGTATGTTTGTATGTGTTTGTGTATTTGAGAAAGAAAGGTTTTGTGTGTAGTTAGTGAAAAACAAAAAAATTTAAGTCACTGAAATAAGATTGTGAAACACAAAGAGAACATTTGTTCACAAGACTTTTGCGAACTAGATCTTGTAGCCTAGTGTTTTTGCTTCAAAATAATGTGGAAATCATCTTGTTTACCCGCTCACAGAAAACAATATATTGAATTAAATTGTCTAAGTCACTTTTTAAGTGAAAATGGTCTATGCAAAAAGGTGTTAACTATCATTAATAATGCAGTGAGTCACATCTGAGAAGACAAAGACCTGCATAATGAACTGCATAATGAGCCATCAGACTGGCACATGACTAAGAGGGAAGAGTTTCAAGAAAGAATCTGAGAAAAAATTTAGTCTACATGTTTTAGTTTGCAGTTTATTTAAAATATATTTAACTATCACACAAAATAACTTGAGATACATGTGTGAGAGTCTGTACACAGTATAAAACTCTGCAAACTATACCGCTGAGGGTTAAAACTGAAGTATTACTCAATTTTGATGTAAATATAAAATGTATGTAAAGCAACCTGCGCTTAGGCACTGTTCAAGGTAACTGTACCTAGTGTGAGTACGCCCTTAGTAACACAGTTGAGAACTGGGATAGTGGAGTGATGCGCGTTGATGTTTGTGGTGTTACTGTCAGTCAGTCATATAGCCCGTTTCCACTGAGTGGTTTCTGGACGTTTCCACTGTCAATGGGTATCTAAAAGAGACCCATACCGTACCACTTTTTGGTTACCCTTTGCAAATGGTACCAAACACGAAAAAAGGGAAGCAAAAGGCGGAGCAAGACCCACAGCTGAACGCTATTGATTTACAAACATATGTCATTTGCAAAAGCAGGAGAATTAAAACAAAAAAAACACCATTTTTAAAAACATAGTCAAGGCATTACACTGTAATACTATATGCATATAATAACAAGCCATGATCGACCCGAGCTCAAACAAACCTTGTCGCTGTCTTGATGAACAGCCAAAAAGCCAAGAATAACAAAATCTGCTGTGTCCTGTTGATATTTTAAGAGCCCGTGTGTGTGCTTTCACTTTCTCCAGAGAGCTCGTCGCGCGTCTATAATTAAATGAATTAACTTGTTTAGCTCAATAAATTAATAAATTAAAATTAATGACGTGCGCGAGATTATTGAAGCGCTTCTGATATCTGATCCTTTAAGAAAGGACAAACGTGAGAGTGAAGCTCGAAAAAACAAAGGAGAAGCTGGAAAAAACTGCAACAAATGATGCTTCTGCAACCTAAAACTGCCATGTTTAATTTTATTTTATACAGTTATAATCAAATTAAGTTTATAGAAAGGTTGGTAATAAACATTTATCCACAAGTATTTATGAGTATAAAGCATCTGTTTTGTGAGAAGTTCTTCTCATGTGATATGTGAAAGAACCGTGTGGCTTTACTGTAGACATTTCCGCAACCTGGGCTCATTGTGGAAACGTAGTCCCGTAGACGTTTCTGGAGACCGCGGAATACGTCCTGGCGGGTACGTATGGCTGCAGTTTTTGTTTTCGCGAATCCGTGAGAGGCCACTGTTGTGCGCTTTTTCGCGTCTCAGACGCCTCTCGAGAGTGTGGTTCGCGCCCGCGCTGTTCTCATGTGAACCCACCAGAGGCCGCTGTCCGACTGACAGAATGATTGACTGCGCGACCGGCCAATCGGCCGACCCACCCTCCTCCTTCCCTGAACCCAACCAATTTTACCGATAGACCCGCCCGCCTGCTCGCTTCCCTAAACCCGAGCAACAGTTTACAAAAAGCCGTCCAAAAAAAGAAAAGCCCTGATTTTTTTTTTCTACTGCGTTTTCGGATTTCACCGCATTCTCACCCTGTTACGAAACTTGTTCACTTAATTTTTGGGATTCTGTTTTTGTCTTACGTGATTGCTGGAACCGCTCTTCCCCGGACTCGAAACTGATCGCCATGGTCGACTCCTCTCTGCATCTCGAGCCTGCCTACACGGTGAGCTGAGTGGACAAACGGGGAAACCCTCCACAAGGAGGTAAGTGGTCGGCAGGCAGGCCGGTCGGTCGGCAAGCGCGATAGGGAACAGCGTCACACCGCCCCTTAGCGTTCGCTTGAAAAAAATAAACGCGGCCGTACATACCTGCCGGGACGTATTCAGCTGTCCCCAGAAACGTTCGCAAGACTTTGTTTTCAGAATGAGCTTGGGTTGCACTTCAGAGTAAAAATAACGTCGTTTGAAACGTTCTGTTGTACACCACGACCACCAAAAGGGTCCCATTTTGCAAATGCAAGCCTGATAAAGATGACCAATAATAACAGTCACTGTAATATGGACTGGGTTTCAAGTGGCTGTCAAAGTTGGTGACCTGGTGGTGTTACAGACTGTAGCAAACCAGGAATTACGAGAGAAAATACAAAATAGGGGGCTGGCGGGAGATGGGTCTGAAACAGTAGATTCGCAGAGAAAAAAAA